ACAAAAGTACAAATATACTAAGTTTACAGATTATATTCTTGTACATTTTTATGGTCATCAATGACAAAAAAAATCTATGACCTCAGCAGAGAGCTGTTGATAAGGTATTAAAATCACCTAAGCAATCGAAAAATATAAATATAAAAATAAATATAATTTATTCTTCAAATAATATTATTTACTGTAACATTTATGTTGTGAATGATGCTTATATGTTAAGCATCTAGTTGTCTAAGATGCTTAGACTTCTATGCACACAAAGATCAAAAAATACCAACCACTGGAAAAAACGGAAATTTACTTGTAATTTTGTGATTAAAATGTTCAAATATTGTTCATATTATGTAATTAATTCTGTAGGCATGGCTTGATCGAATACAACATAACAGATTATTTGGAGAACAGGCACTGGCAAACCTGCTGCAGTCCCAGCTGGCCTTCTGCCTGAGCTATACACTTTTTGTGCAAGAAATAAATTCTGCTTTAAAATGTTAGATGGGTCTGAGATTACTATTTGGCAGTGTCACCTACATTGATGTCCACACACAATGACACAGCTGTAGGAAACACAGGAGCAGGAAGGGTCAGCTGTGGCAGCAATCCCCACTGTAGGGACTGCTACCACCCAGGGAGGCTCCAGGAGCCACCAGAGGGAATGGCAATTCGTGCCAGGAAAACAGCAGTAACACTTTCTCCCCATCCCCTCCCTGGTGAAATGAATAGACCATTAGAAGCCAGAAGAGAAATCTATATTAAGATACTGCTAATGTTCTAACAAAGCGACACAAACAAGTTACACCTCTAACAACTCACCTTCTTCCTACTCTAGGTATTTATAGCAATATCTAGAATTCTACTGATATACCACAGTCTACTAATTGTGCTCTTCCCCCTGCCACTCCCCCCCAAAAAAGCAGGATAAACAAGGGACAAAGTGAAATTTTTAAAATAGAATTTCCTCACCTCGGTTTATTTAAGTTAGATATTTAGGACTGAGCTTATCAAGCCAACTGGTGGGCATCCTGCACATGGCATAGCACCTAGCACCGTCTCCCTGCATGTGCTGAATCATGGCGACTGATTTTACAAGAGCTGGTGATAGAGTCAAATATCAGAGAGCAGAAACAAGCCTTTCATTATGACAGTCTCTTAAATAGAGAGTTGTTAATAAACTAAGTAAAAAACCAATTGACTGACTATTAAATGACCTTAGAATTAAATTTGCTGTTACTATACTTGAGCTAGAACAGCACAAGTAAATATCTCTAAAAGAAAAAGCAAAGTCTTCTGTGACAGAAACCAATTTGATATGGAAATGGGTCAACAGTTGCTTAAGATGTAGCACAGTTTTGATTTGATCTGCTATATTTGGACTCTGTAAGAGGCGCTTCCAGTAACATCGGTATTGCTTATACATGAGACTTTTGCATAATCACTGTATGAAGCATTAGAATTCTTCAAACCGAGAATGATTTTCAAAGCGACTATACATATCTATGTTAATAATGTGGGTACAACAGTATTTGCTGAAGAAAAAGAACAACTGTTTTCTAAAACAATTAGGATTCATAATATATTGCTTGGCAGACTATTGTTCAAAAGCCCACACAGTCCTTACCGAAAAGAAGCCCAAACGCAGCTATGGGCATCAAGTTATGCTTAACGCTGAGCTCAGAATACACACTGGTCAAACAAGGAGAAATGTAAAAATAGTTGAGCATACATTTGTTTTACAAATTAAATCCTGTATTTGTTTTGTATTGCTACTTTTCAGACATGATCACAGTTTGAGGGAAACAACCGGATTCCATTTTAAGATTTTTCTTTCAAGGATATTCTATAACAATTTTTACTTCCACATACCTCAGCTGTTAGCTTTCCAATCCACCTTGTTATTTCTATGGAGTCCCTAGTAATCTTTGTATCACCACAGACATTAATCTAATTTCACTCCTGAAAACTACAAAAGATCATTTCACCATGCTTACCACCATGTTAGGGAACTTCCCCAGCCAGCAAGGAGTGTTCCTTCTCTTTTCTTGCTTGGCCTCCATCACACATGCTACAGATACAATCGTGTTGGTTCTTCTTTACCTTTGCATTCTGTTGTCTGACCTTGGGAAGAAGAACACACATATGTAATATCTTCCTTTAAATGTGTAATAATAATGAATATAAGCATTCACATTCTGAAAGCCAAGTACAAGCATTAAAGATCATCTATTGACTGCTGGTAGCCCTCACAGCACAGAGCCATGATTAGCTGCTGGGCACGAGCAACCTTAAAAACTGAAAATTATAGTGGCCATTTTCAACTGACCTTTGTGTGCTGTTTTACATTGAAAAAAGGACACATTCAGATAATATTATCATAAGACATAACATCTGCATGCTACCTCTGCACAGACACAAACGAGCATTAGCGTATTATCTCTGCAAAGACATAAGTTATTGTAGCCATAGTAAGCCAGAGGTTTGCTGAAATCTAGGGAAGAGGGAATGCTAGGTCTTCACACGGAAAAAAAAAATGATACAAAAACGCACCGGGATATTTGTGATTAATAATAATGTCTCTAAAAGCAACATTAATTATAATTACATGGGTTACTAACCTTTACAGAGTCCACACAAATATTCATTGGATTCCCCTGTCCATTCTATGCCTTATGTGACAATAAAGGTGATATTCTGGGAAAAAAACTCTCTACAATACATATCTTTATCAGGGTAAAGCCCACTCCATTGAAGCATGTTTTAACCTAATAATTCCTATAGCATATTGCAATTATTAGACTAACTGCTATTAATGAAAACCCAACTATTCAGTCCTATGTCTGGCTCTGTAACAGATGTCATACATATTGTTTAACAAGTAGTTCATGTCTCTTGACACTATTTTACCACTTGTAAAATAAGAATGCTATTGAGATCATTGAATAGTAGATATTATAGAAGTAGAAAGCATTGACTATTATTTGTTGTATTATTATTATTTAATGTAACATATGGATGCAAAATTCTGGCTTGTTTGACCAGGAAGACAGCCTTATATGTTTTAAATTAAATTAGCATAGAAAAAAAATTAGGCAAACAGACTATCTCAAACAGGAAATGAAATAAACAGTATGGAGCTCTTTAAATACATAACAAGTAATCAGCAAAAGGGCTGTGAAAGGAACCTGAGTGGGAAGCTTGTGACCAGTGAGGCTGATACTGCTGGAAGCCTGAATGAAAGTTAAAAGGCTCCATGACTAGGCCAGACTATACAGGCAATTAGAAGTGCTGAATGTTGCCAAGGCATCAGGCCAACAAGAATTACAACTCAACAAACTGAATGAAGGAGAGTGGGGGGAGAAAAAAAAAGAAAAAGGGAAAAAAAAAAAAGGCTTTAATTAAATATTTGAGATCTCACAAGGGATGGGGAAAGTGCCAGGTAACTGGAAGATGGTTAACTAAACAGAGGGGGTCTGTTCACTCATTAATGCGTGGGGGAATTTACAAATGTAACTTCTACTACCATTAATTGGAGCTACAGTAAAAGAGTGATGTCAGTGTACACTAGTGGGGAAAGGCTCTTGTTACTTCGTCTGTTCTTACCTCATAAGGGTTCATTGAAGAGTTGTGGGGTGATTTATTAATCTGAATGAAAAAGGTCATGAAGATGGAACTTCTTGAAACAAAAATTTGTACTACTCTAAGTGCAGGATGATCCCAGAATAATGCAATATTTTCCTAAGAACTTTTCTTAGCAGCCTTTTAGAACTGTGCAAAAATTTATTCTGCCCTGCACCTCAGAAATCCCAAAATAACCCTGTGGGACATGTGTCAGATTCAAAGTGGATAAAATAACTTCATTTCTGCAATTGCTTGTCAGGAGGGTCACCAGTTGGGATGATTTGATTGTGCCCGTGCTGGAATGAAAGAGGGAAATGAAACCAGCAGGTCACTCACCCGTGAAGAAAGAGGAGGAAAGAGGAGAACAAGGGTTCTTGTGAAAGAACTCAGCACTGGCAAGGGTAGGCTAAGAACTGCAATTGTACTATGTCACTGGACCCAGTTAGAAACTCTATAGATGCAATTACTTCAGATAAGCTTATATACATTTTTATGCAGCTCTAAATTCCATGGTTTTCCCAACATATATCACATGTCAAACTTTAAATGTGTTTTAGTTATAATACACCATTTTGTTGTGCACTGTTCCTCAATTAAATCTAAAGTTTGTTCAAAACAAAATTTTAAGCTTCATTGTTCCTATAGCTTAAAATGAAGGCAGAAATTACCTACAGGATAAAAAGAGGTTTGTATTTTTTTCAGCCACAATCAGAGAAATTTTGGAATATGTAAAAATATGCAGTATTTTCAGAGTCCATGAATGAAAACCAGAAATAATTTTAGTAATTCTTTCTAGTACATAAAGTAGAGAAATAAGGCCCAGGAAGCTTGTGTCAGGGTCCTGTCTTTGTTATTTTATCACTATTTTTAAGTGACAAGGGGGAACCATCAGAGTTTCAGAGCACGGCATTTAAAAAGGGCAGAATTCAGCATCAGTTCACCACATGATGATATGTTGTGGGGTGGTTTAGAATAAGAAATCTATTAAAAAAACAAACAAACAAACAAAAACAGAAACCAAAGAAAAAAGCCTTCACAGTCTTGAGGCCCCATAGAATCTTTAAAACTAAAACTGCCCTCAGATGTTCAAGAACTAGAAGTCTCAAGTGAAATATGTCTATACTAGCACATTTAAAAAGAATTAGTATTCTCAACTTTTACTAGTGCTTTACCAGAAAAGTGGTCAGGTGGTCACCTCAATAAGCCAAATGTTATTTAAACTTGGACTTGGATTCCTATTTCATTATAGGAATAATACAGTGTATCTTAAAGGGCATTAGAACAACAAATTAAAATTATAACTACAACTAACAGTAAATGAGAGAGATAGCCATTAAAGTATTTACGGTTCCTGAAGATGAATTTTCTGTCACCTTCAGTGTTACCTTTTAAAAAGTAGCTGCCAAGAACTGTTCACTTTTTTCTCTTTCCTACTTTCCTGGAAATATGGACATCTGTAAAGGACAGAAAAGATTCACATCTGCAATTGCTATGAAAGAGAGTTTATTTCAAAAGTACATCCTTTATGGCCATAACAGAATTAAATACTATACGACAATCAATTCAGCTAGTATTTTTATATAGAACTTAAATTCTGACACAAGAGCCAGTCAATGTTACTAGCCAAGTCTGTTAAATTTCTCAAGATTAAGATGGGAAAAAATGGAAAATCTTCACATTAAGGTGGTGGGCTATATTGTAGCTTAATTTATAATTTCCAGGCGTATAAGGCAAGCATAGACAGACCATATGTCTTTTCTTGGCCTTTAAATGCTCCTATTTTCCACTAGACTTGCCTTTTTCTCCATCTATTGGCAACCATACCATTTGCTATTCAGGTGATTGGCTGTAATGAGCCAACTCCTGTTTCCATATGAATAACCACTTTTTTCCCCAATTACTTAAGCTGCCAGCAAGTCACTGGTGTCATGTTCTTTGATGCAAATCTGACTGTCAATAGACTACATAAAGGGAGAATTTATGATGATATCCTTAGCTTAATATTTTTTGTAAATGCTATTCAGTTTAGCTTCCAAGGAACATGGGGAAGGCAGCAATGGTCCACAGTAAGAAGTAAGAATATCTTTAATTGGCTTTGTGCTCCACATGCCCTTGTAATCAGCCTTCCCATATGGTAGTCTGAAATAAATTTATCAATCTCAATTTATGTATTTATGTCACTTTAAAAGGTCCATTTTAGTCAATATCAAAATCTATAAAATGTCGCATTTAATTTTAAGTTTGTAATTAAAAAAGTTAGAACACTGAATACATAGTTTGATATTTGCAATTTTTGGAAATAAGCAGACACACAGAATAGCATGGGAGGGGGGGATTTTCTGAGGCAAATGAACACCAGTTATTAACAATACAAGAACTAAATATATAATTTTAACTCACTTTTTTAAAAGGTCATTTCTTTTTAATCTTTCTTAAGTGGGCTTGGATATTTTTCACTTAAAGGGAAACAGCTTACATTTTGCAAGCAATGAACCCTATTCTTGAAATGCATAAGTGTGATAACGGGGTAAGGGGCAGATTCCTTGCTGGTATTGGCACTCCTGATTGCAAGCACCATGTTTGACAGTAAATAGCTACAGAGTAAACTGTTTTCCATTTACAAAATTGCTATAATAAAATTCTAATGCAAAACAATAAAAACAATGTTAGCCAGTATTCAAGGCTTTGTCTATTTACTGCGTACCTTCAAACCTGTATCATTTCAGGATGCCCCTCCAGGTCTCTATCAAGTAGATTTTCCAAGTGTTGCCCATTTTTTCCAGGTGATTCCGCTTAAATACCATTTTTAAGCCTCTGAGTGATTTTGTAAACATCAGCTTCTGCAATATAGACACCAGCAGCCAATCTAAGGGGAAGGACAAATTCATATTGTACATATTTTAAATGGCTGTTGGTCTTACAAAACTCAGATCCAGTTCTGCATGTTCGCAGGTGCTCTCAATCAGGGCTTTACCTATAAACTAATTAGGTCCTGAACGAAGATCTTTTGTAACAGCAGGCGTCCTTAACAACCACTGCTCTTTTGCTGAAAGAGTTTCTGGGTCTGTTTTTTTATTGTTGAAAACACAATAATAAATTATTGTTTACGTAAGGTTGACAGCACTTTTCTCAGAGCTGAGACAAAACAAGAAGCCAGCAAAAGGAAGACAGGTGAAAAGTGAAAATATTTCTTTAACAATCTGATAAGAGTTATATTATCTTTGATTGTGATCATTTACAAATAGGAAAGGTCCTGCCTAATCTCTGTAAGGAGAAAGAAAAAGTAACTGCTAAACTTGAAATTCATTAGTTAAATATATTTAATACCAAATGAAACAAAACAGTAATGTTAAATTCAGTGGGCTTAATTAACCTGCAAAAATACAAATATCTTTTTAAGCTTAAAGTTGCTGTTTAATGATAGCCTGGGTTTGTTATTATTATTGGGCTAAAAACTGATCTTAGAAGTATACATAAAATCAAAGCAGCTCAAAGGTTTCTCTGCTTACTTGAGACTAGGACTGGATTTGACTCTATACTGATCAGGGTTTTCTCCCCACATGATGCAGTAGCACATAAATAAAGAGAAATGAATGTTGTAATCCATTAAGTTTGGTAGAGAAGTTAATTAGAATTTATACAAATAATCCTCTACAGGTTTTTTCAGCAACACATTTTCAAAAGTGTTCGAAGACTATTGCCCATTATAAAGTATATAGTCAAGCAAAGCTGGCTGCCACAAACTCTAAAGGAGCGTTGCTTATCAGGTACCAGGTCAAGGGCATTTAGACCCTGGAAGGAACAATCTCTGATGGGATTTCCAAAAGTTAAGGTACCTGCCTGCTCTCTAGTTGCCTAAATGCATTCAAGTCTCTTAAATACTAATGGACTAATGCAAGGCACAGACTAGCTGGTGCCTACATTTGAAATCTGCTCTCAAATCTCATTTGCAGATTGGCCAGATGGTCATTAGTGTGGAGGTGTTCTCCAGGCAGACTTGCTTTCAGGGCAGTTTTTTTTAAGTTTTTTGGGGGTTGGGGAAGGAGAAAAGGAAGTCTTTTTCGGTTGTAGGTTTTTAGTGGGGTTTTATGGTGTTTGGGTTTTTTGTTGGTTGTGGTTTGGGGTTTTTTTCAGTTAAGATTAGTAACAGCTAGGAAGGGGTGAATAAAAGCTGAGCTACAACAGAATATTCTCTAGTTTGGTGTATTTAAGAAAGTGCTTGCAATTTAATCCAGAGAGACCAATAAACAGAAGACTAAAATAAAAAGGCAGAAGGCTGCAGTGTCAAAGTGCTGTTAAAGTACATGAGAAAAGCAATCCACTTGGGGTTCACTGTAACACTTCTAATAATGAGCTTCCCATATTTAGACACAAGAGATAGCAAATTCAAACCCCCTGGAAAGAATACAATACAGTTATACAACAACATAGCAAACTGTATTTGTTTTGTTATTACTACCTATGCACCCTATGGTTTCTTTAGGGGAGATGATATGATATCTTTATATTGTAGTGTGTAAAATAGTCTGAAATCTCTTTTTGACACCAGTAATGCACCAAAATCCTTCCTAAATATTGAAAGACCTCCAACTTGATGCTAAGCTTGATCTTACTCATCACTGAAAAAAATAAAATGTTTTGTTACTGTATTTCTCTCTGAGAGGTTTTCAAAATCCTTCCAGTCAGTACATGAGATAGGATACATATTGTCGGGGATAAGTTGTTAAAGTGAATTTGAAATGTGCTTCTCAAAATATCGTTTACACATTTACCAGATGGTAAAATAAACATGTAAATTGTTATCGAGTATACACCAACTTTATACTACAATTTTACCCACTGTAGAAATGGTGTAAAAATGTTGAATATAGTGTTACTTGTTCATTTAATAGTTTATTAACATTTTAAATACATTTGGAGAATAGATTTACTTTCAAAGAAAAAAAATACTTACAAAAGCAGCATTTTAAGCCATTAATCAGGCCAAATTAATGTACTGACTTCTATATTTATCATTCACCTTATCAATAATATGATTAGCATAATTATAGTTGGTTTCTAAGTATTTACATATGTATAGGTGTTACCCATGTTTAATGGTATAGGTTTTAAAAGATAAATTTAAGTTGAAAAAGTGCTAAAAACGTAATTTTAAGAAGTATAGTTACCAACATCTTAGTTAAATGCTGTGATTTTTGGGGTTGTCCAGGATTTGTGGGTCCCCTCCAACTGAGGATATTTTATAATCCTGTGATTCTAAAGTAGCTGCTGTTAGACCAACAGCTCAGTTTGTAACTGGTATTTACTCTTTCAAGAGCCACCCTACACATTCAGAAATATGAAGTTGTGGATAATCTATATATGACAAAGCAGAAGGTGTGTGCTAACAAACCCTTGTATCCAAAGAAAAGAGTAATGCATGCACTGTTTAGCCATATGCAGGAATTAAAATCTCCAAGCTCAAGGAGTAACCCTTGTCCTTCCTTAAAATAAAAGGTCACATGCTTGTAATGACTTGTTAATTATCCTGGTAGAAGAGAACAGATGAAGGATTTTGATGGAAGACTGTTGCTTGTACTACCTATGATTCATCTCTGCTTTTGTAATTCTGTTTCTACCGACCAAGCACATCAATTACACTGTGCTATAGGATTTCCTTTCTCACCTTTCAGACTGTGCCAGCTCCTTTTTTTAAAAAAAATAACTTCATTATTTTGCTGTCTTAGATTTAGGAACTTTCCTCATCTATGAGGACATATATTGACTCAGCGTATTTTCAGTCTTAGGTTCCCAGCAGACTCTGAACTGTTTACTCCTTAGGTATGAGCATATCAACTAGTCTTCAAGTTATCTAAGGAATTCTTTGGTCAATGCACACAATGAGGTCTTGGCTTCTCACATAGGTTTTGTCTGAATTATTTTTTTCGGAGGCTTTTCACAGTATCTAAATTCAGTCTGTCACCAGTCATGAAGCTTCTGTTTACTATTACATTGTGGCTTTACTATCATATGCCCTCAGCAGTAAGGTGTTATCACATAAATACAAAAAATGCATGATTCTCTAGGGCATTAGCACAGAACTAACTTAAAAGATAATTTAACTTCATTAATGAATTCTGGAGGAGCTTGCATATCCAACAAATATCCTCTATTAGCAGGTGCCACAACATAAAAAACTCTTAACCAAAATTATCTTTAAATAATATCGTCCCTATACAGGGAACAAGCAGAAAAGCAACAGATAATAAGCTTTAACAAACCTGTCTGGTTTCTCTGACTCAGACTATCAAAGTCTGTGATTTAAGATTCAGAAGTCCTGCTGAAAAGCAAAGTGTCAAAAGCTGCTCCATACCGGGTGCTTGATCAGGGCTCCAGCAGAATCTTCTAGGGAAAGATGAAAAACAAACCAATTGGATGTGAGGACTTTTAAAATACTTTTAAAATACACTTGGAATTTGCTCCTTTACAGAATCACAGAGTCATCAAGGTTAGAAGAGACCTTCAAGATCAACTACTCCAACCATTCATGCAGCGCCACCATAATCACCCCTCAACAATATCCCAAAGTGCCACGCCCCGACTCCTCTTGGACATTTCCAGAAACAGCTCCAACCACCTCCCTGGGCAACTTATTCAATGCCTAACCAGTCTTTCAGTGATTTTTTTTTCTTTAATATCTAATCTGAATCTCCCCCAGCACAACTTAAGGCCATTTCCTCTCATCCTTTCACCTGGGACATGGTAGAAGGAACTAACCTTGCTACTACAACCTCCTTTCATGTAGTTGTAGAGAGCAACCTACCTTGTGGATTATACTCTTCAGCAGAAATATTTTGAAAAAATACATAGAAATATTTGATAATATTGAAGAGATTGACAGTAATAAGGGTTTCATGTGAGAATAAATGATAGTGTAAATTAATTAAATACCCAGAAATCTCTGGAAAGATCTGGTTTGGAAACCGTTAGGCAGAAATATAAGTTTAAACTTGAAGAAATAGCCTAAGTGGGATATGGGGAAAATTTACGGATGTGCACAGATAGAAGGTGTTCAGTAGCACACCTACAATTACCTCTATTATGAATCACAAAAAAAAAAATATGGGGACGCTTAAAAGTCTGACTACCAAAATCCCTAGTGCATTCAAAGCATGTATTGCCTTTAGTGTACACATGGGTACTATAGATTGAAGCACTAAACGTGAGAGGGAGCTGCTGAAGAAAGAAATGTCTTCAAAGTCTGAGCCATGGAGCACCAAACACCTCTGCCAACTAACTTCGAAGCAGAGCCTGAGCCAACACTTCTGTAAAGACAGGGTGAGCACTGGAAACTTGTAGCATATGCTGCTATTTACATAACTAATTGTAGCATGCACAGTCAAAAAACAGCCTCTAGCTTTAGCATATACATGCAAAATAATTGATTTTATTATGTACAGAAAATTAGAAGCTGTCAGAAACAAAGCCACCACTAACAGCCGCGAGGAAGAATTTCGAAGATTCATCGCCTAGATTGCAGAGGCTAGTCTTCACACAGTTGTGAGGTTTACAGCTAGAATATAAATCTAGACAAGATTCAGTGACAGCTGATACCCTATCCAAGCTTTTGGTAAAACTGACATACACACACCACAGACTGATGGCGGAGACGCTCAAGAAAAATATTCCCAGTCTCAGACTAGCTGTGGTTTGCCATTGCAGGCATTGTAACACAAGATGAAACTTTGCAAAGGATATTGCAAATATAATAATGATCTCATCTTAAACAAAATAAAAAGGAAGAAAAATGTGATGGCATAGATTAAAAGCACTAGCTGAGTTGCTCCTAAATGTCTGATGAAAAATAGAAGGACACCAAGATGTGGGAAAATACAGAAGATAAAAGCTGCATTATACTGGCTACTTTTCTATGGGGAAAAAAAATAATAATGAAAGAAAAAAAAAGCATAACACTCAGTATTTCTCAGACAAAACAATATGTATATGTAACCCAGAAAATATGGATATTACTTCTAGAATGTTCTCCTATTACTGAGAAATAATATTCTTTGAGGTAATATTTAATCCTATAGATTAAATCTGTATTGGCTAGACATGACACACTTGTTCTTGCAATTACAGATTGGAATCAAATTTTTATAAATTAATAAATTTTAAGTGTGTTATTTTAAGATATCCTCTGGCCCTTAATCTTTTTGAAAATGGTGTTAAAATTCTATTTTTTTTTAATTTAAAAGGCTATGAAGAATCAAAGTTAGATCAGCAGAGGCTCCGTAAATTATGATGCAACACCCATAAATCCAAGAGTTCACCTGTTACATGCTGCTGAAGAAAAACCTTAGAAACAGACACCCTGGTTAGACAACTCCAAATGCTAAAAATGTTTACATTGTAGATTCTTATAAAATGTGTCCTATTAAATGTTTTATGTGAGTTAAACCCTTTACAATCACAAGAAATTTTGAGTAAATGTACATTTAAAACTCAGGGTACAAAAGGAAGCAGCCTTCCGTGGATCTCATCCTTTTCATTAATACTGAGCAAGGCTTTCCTTGTTTAGCATCCTCCACAGAAGGAGTTAAAGGAGAAAGCCCTTGCCTGCATGCTCAAGCTCTAAACGGAACAAGCCATGGAAGAGCCAGTGAAGTGCCTCTCAGTAAGGAAAAGGTTGGTGGAGAGAAGGGCAGGGGCTGGAACTCACGGAAAGCTTTGGAGATCTACCAGGGGAAGAGATCAGAGGCTGCCTGGGGACTACAGGTGTACGTTCATCAGATTAGAGCTCTGCTGCTTCATCACTCCGGAATTCAGCGATTTCATGCGTGATCCTAAACACTTGGAGGGCAGGTTTTGGGTCGTAGATAAGCCCATCTCATACCTGTCTGAAAGGGATCACCAGCTTCCTGCTGTCCTGCCCTTGAACCCACCAGCCTGGCAGCCTTTCCCATGCAATAGCACTATCTCCATCCAAGTGATGGATCCAAAAGCTGAACTAACAGGAAAACAACCCTCGTGAAAAGGGTCGAGTACACAGAACTACACTTGAAATCTCCTAGATCCTTATCCTGAGGCAACTGTAAATATAAAAACAAATTCAAAATTAAATATAGTTACTGTTTAGCACATTGTGTATTTAGCACAAGCATTGCCCTTTTCCCTCTATAACTGGAAAACGTGACCGCAGTGACACAACTGCATTTTAATTACCAACGGGAAAAAAAACACCCCAAAACCCACAACTGAAAGCACTGCTAAAGTGATTTGGCAATGACTTATGTGCACATATATGCTAAACATTACACTGCTACAGGACAATTATTTGTGTTGTTTCATCAGTTATAATGTATTTGGAAAATAAGCATACACTGGTAATGGACTACTGTGGGGTCCAGCCTTCCAGGTTACATCTGACTAAATGGCCTTTGGGACAATATAGTCCTGAAGAAATCTTACATCCACATGTTGTAAAAATAAGTTTTATGTTGATTTTTATAGGCCCATATTTTGTTTCTGCCATTACACTTCATATTACTTTAACTAACATCTGCTTATACAAATGAATGTTTGCTATTTAAAAAAAAAACACACAATTTCAAAATAATTTTCATTTATATAAATGATCAGAGATAAGTTATAAGTGAACAATATATGGAAATACAATAACTGAAACACTGAAATATTTAAAAATACAAAACTGAATGTTAACACCAGAGTAGTTTTATGATATTTAACACAAAGAAAAAAAGAGCTACATTAGACAAGACTTCAAAGAAGATAAAAAGGATTTGGGCATTACAAAATACCAGACACTTATAAGAAGAACTGAAAATATCTGGTTAACTCCTTTCCTTTCAATTTTGGAACATTTTTTTTATGTTGAAAGAATATAGTTGGCCTAAATATTGCCCCTAAAAAGTGGCAAATTCTTGTATAACATACACCAAGAAAACTGCTTTTGATTCAATTATTAAGACAATTTAATCATTGAAATCAACAATAAAAAGAAATTAAGCTTCAATTATTTTATAATCTAAACAGAAAGAAACAAAAATGTAAGTACAGTAAGATATGAGTTGTTGTTTTCATAATTATTTTAATGCAGGAGAAACAAATATGTATATTGAATTATTATTTGGTCCTATTCATTTCATCAAACAGCACCTGCTTTGGATAGTATCTAAACCACAAGAGGAGACAATCAGATTGTTTCAGTACAAAGCAGTATTGAACCACTGAAGCCCATGAAATGACATAACTATAAACCAGCTGAGGATTTAATCCATGCTATTCTGACCCTAACTCTGCAACAAATGCCACCCCTCAATGCGTATCTGAAATAACTGCTCGATAACGTGCCCAAGAATAAAACTGTAAAAACTGTGAAAGTCATTTAGAACCACAGGCATTTTAGAACCACTGGAGATTTTTCAGTGAGATTTTCATTATTTCTAGACATGGGTGACTAAACCACTCGGAGATTTTTGAAAAATGCCCCTGCCCCTCATCACTTATACACTGTGGGTTCCGTAGGAAAGTCAGGAACTGACCACAGAATGCAAAACCCTTTACCTCTTCTTCAATACCCTGCATATAATTCAAATTAAATGTTCCCTTCTCCTAATGCAAGAGTAAACTGAGCTACCAGGAGGGAGCTTACACAAGCTTAAAATAATACCTATGTACAAAACCCTCACATTTTAGAAACACAGTGGGGGAATGCAGGGAGAGGGGAGATGCCTCAAGGGTTTGCTGAGAGGGGATGTAGTGTGAGGAGCAGTTGTTTCTCTGTGTTACTGCACCACAGGTCTCATTTAGTAACATGTAGGTACTGATCACAGAGCAAGAGGCAAGAGAGGAGGTGCTCCTGCCAGGCCCTCGACTGGAATTCTCAGACATTGTGAGGTGAACCCCAACTTTGCCCAGGGCCGGAGAGCAGCCACCATATTTCCACAATGTCTCCAGTAGGAGGTCTATGGAAGATGGAAATGTGACAATCTAGTCGTAATCAACTCCACATAAAAAAGCCTCCCCTTCAGCAAACATTTTCACAAAGGTCAATAAGCTGTAATCAGGGTGTTGATCAATCACTAAAAACATTTGTTAACTTACATTTATGATTTCAATTTAATTCTCGGTGGGTAGGTGTCTTCATCTAAACTAGGACACCTTTCAGCAGCATAAAATTTCTCTCAACGCAAAATATCGGTGTTGCTCTCTCACCCTTCAGTCCCAGACCATTATCTGCTTTCTGGATAAACAAAAGCAGCCAACATGTAACTAAATATAATTGAAGAAAGAAACTTACTTACAAAAATTAATTCCTTAGCATGGCCCACAGAAATTAAGATGTGACTTTCAGAAAGTTTAAATTACGTGTCAATACTGTCAGTTAAAAAAAAAAAAAAATTACCCAAGCAAGCCAAAACATTATACTTCAAATGATTGAAATAGGAGCTTGGATGATGTGCTTTGGTAACTCATCAATGCAATGTTTCTGCTATATTAAAAAAAAAATCAAATTATTCAGTGTATCCTAAATCAGTCACTTCAAGGTACAGGAATATCACAATTATAGAAAAAGGCCTTGATCCTGAAAACATTTATGTCTGTGAATTTTTAGACAAGTGAATAGTCTTTGTAGGACTGACCTCTTACTTTATGTTGTTCACACATATGAACTTGTATGCACGATCAGAGACTAAGGCAGAAATACACATTTACAAGCTATCAACATTTTACCTAAAATGTCTCTTAAAACAGATTCAAAATCATTACCAGCTGTTTCTTATTTAAAGCTTCATATCAATCTAATAGTATAGATAGTTTTACACAGAAGCAAGGTACATGAAGTTTTCATCCATTTTGCCTCCAGTTCAAAAAAAAAAAAATTAACCTAAAAAGTCAACTTAAAACCAATGAGATCATTCATACCCACATCAACCCCTTTGCGTTAGAAACACTCCAACTATGACAAATCGCAATGATAGCATGAATAAAACATCACAGATTTTATTGTGTAATATATTTTATAAGGTAAAAAGTTATATCTAATCAGTAATGACAGCCTTGGATCCTAATGGATTCATAATTATTCTACATCTAAGAAAGAAAATGTTACATATGCTCAAAAAGTCAAGATTTATATATAAATATATATATATTTCAACCAAGAACTGTTTTTTTCAGATATATATATTTGAACAAATGGGCAGCTTTCAACGGACGACACTCTGAAATAAGCAGTGCTTTTGTTTGCATTTCCAGATTAATATGCATTCTGATAAAAGCAGGAAATGTTATCACTAAGCTGTGCGGCTCTCTAGACCTACCACAAATACACTATCTGGAAAGAACTGGGTACTGAACGCAAACAGTCTGCTGCCTTCCATCTACTTATCACTCTGCTGTTTCAATATTTTTTTTCTTTGACTTTACCCCTGTATCTTAGCAAGTGACACATTCCCCACTAGAAACCACATTCATGACAAGTTTTAATACTTAAAATCAGAACTTGTGTCCATTCTGCACAGAAACAGTACCTGGAAAGCATACATTCATGCAAAATCCTTTTTTTTTTCTGCTTTTTCCAATACACACGTTCTTTTTTTGTATCACGGCGATTTTAAAATTGTTCTATGCAATTTAAATAAGATTTCCAAAAACAGTAACCTTTTACAGGGATAAATCAGAGCCTTTCCAGTTGACAAAGTAATTTGGGAGGGACATGCAAAGCACCTGAAAAAACACACTGCGTAGAAAACCATTTTAACTATAGCAACAGCACTCACTGCATAATGTTATAAGGAAAATTATGCAATTAGGTCTCTTATCAGACTTATGAAAATTCAGATTTATGCCATTTGGGGGAATAAAAAAAGAAAAATCATTGTTCACCATATCTCCCTTGAACACTACCTAGGGGAGGGGAGTGATGACCAGACAGCAAAAATTAAGAAGAACGTGTCCCACCTTACGCCTATTCTGCCAATCTGTCGTGGTTGTTCTTCTAGCTCCATAGGTTTACGTGGGGGTTTTTTCCTAATTTTTTTTCTTTTTCCTTTTTTTTTTCTTTTCCTGACAAGTAATACAAGACAGATTCTTGCCTTCTTAGGATCTTGCAATCTAGTTTAGACATAGCACGTCAAGTGGTGATGAAAGAAGGTTAGGGTGGGTTTGAAAAGATGAGGATTCCAACAGTAAACGATGCAGAGACATCAGTTTGGTAATGTACACATGTTTTGCATGATTCATTGGACCAAAATGGCCAAAGGAACTTAAAAAGCTGTCAAAGGCATCTTTACCTCTGACCTACCTAGTCATCCATCTGCTTCCTCATACTGTCAATCAAAACCCTCCCATCCTTATCACTATTCTATTACACACATTTTCCACGACCATTTCTCCTCCAGCTCTTAAAAAATATCTTAGCAAACATTTCAATCAGTCATTAAAAACCTTGTTAAAATATGCAATGTGTCATCAAATATGCATAGCATACTCGTGCAAAATCTGCAGAGCGTAAATCACTGTATTACATTTGTTATAGTATTAATGTGAAACATCGTAGAAAGTATTACCAATAAGAACTTTAAAATACTTTCTACAGATCAGAGCTGAATTTTGTGTTGTATTAAATAAAGCAAAGAAAGGGCACTTGAATAATTATTTTACACAATAATTGTATTTAAAGCCTGTTCAGCATGCTTAGAATAATAATACTAATTACACTTTACATAAAGTTCATGCAATTAGTTGCTGTTCTAACAAATTCATACATGGGGGTTTGCTTCAACTAAACCGAGCGTACTGCAATTTATACACACCGAGTCAAACCCCCTGTGTTCGGTCCTTGGTGAATGCAAACACTAACGTGTCAGTAAACATGTTTAGCAGATATACAGGTGCACCTCTAAAAATAATAATCTAAAGAATTATAATAGCAATAAAATTACCTACCGACAGGAAATAGTCTTTTTAACTTCTGCAGCCCTTATCTCTTCCACTCTCTCGCAGAAAGAGTTACGGAATTATCCTGTCGAAAAAGTTACGGAATAACATCAACCACTCACGCACGGGAAAGAATTTTGTTCGGACCTGTCACACGTTACGTATTTGTTCCAGACCCGCTGGATAAGCCCCGCTAAACAAGACCTGGCGGACCTCTCCCCGAGGAGCGGTGTGCCCGGGGTGACTCCCCGGCGGGCAGCAGCCGCAGCGGGGAGGCGGGCGGGGAACGCCGCGGTGCCTCGGGCCGCTCCCCTTGTCCGCTCGGGGGGCAGTGCATCGGAACCGGCAGCGGCGGGGGGGAAGGGGGGCCGCTTTTGCCGGCCGAGAGCGAGAAAGGAGAGCCAGGAACATGCCATGATATATTTAGGGTGCGGGAAGCCCCGGGACAGCCGCACTGAAGGGCAGCCGGAGCCCGCGGGAGGCAGAGAGGTGCGGGCGCTGCGCGGGGGAACTCGTGCGGCGCCCCGGCCTCTGCTGCTCGGGGAAGGCGGCCGCGGAAGGGCTCGCACCGCCCGCGCTGCTCCCAGGGCCGCTCCCGAGGGGGCACTGCCCCCACGACCCCTCTCAGCGAGGGGCGTCCCGGGGCAGCACCGTGAGCCCGACGGCACTGCGGGGCAGGCGTCGCCGCCCCAGGTTGGTGGCCGCGGGGCCCCAAGCGGGCGATGTAGGCGGTGGAGGCGCTGGGGGCGCAGGGACTCCACACCTCGGGGGGCGGGGGAGGGGAAATGCAATTGGGCTGCTCAGGTGCCCCCAGTCAATACTGCGACAGGACAAAATGCCCCTGACAACTCCGCACCTGCGCTTACCCACCGCGGAGTCAAGAGTAAACCCGGCCTGTTATCTCCACCCCCCGAGGACTCTGCCCTCGCGGGTACCGGGCTGGCGCCTCTCCTAAAGCCCACAGGTGGGTGACTCTCAAGGGGGCAGCGTCCCGGGGCGGCTAGCACGTGGTGCTGCAGGAGTGGGGGCTCAGATCCCGCGCAGCGGGGCAGGCTGCTCCCCCGAAAGGGCGCCCGCCTTGGGGGCACCACGGGGCTCCGCCAGCGCAGCTCTCGCCCCAGGGAGGTGAGGGCAGGCTGCGGGCGGGCAGCGCTGCGTCCCTCGCCTCTGCTCCGGCAGCAAAGGCACCCCACGCCCCGCACCAGGCACCTCTCCCGCCTGCAAAGTGCTGTAAGGGTTTTTAAGCGACAAACACGGGGATAGTTACAAACCTCTCAAACCTGAGGGGGTTTCATCTCCCTCTTTCTCCGACTGCAAACCTCCACGCTTGGCCACGTCGTGTAAGCACTCTCCGCTACGTTCTTCCCCCCCCCACCAAAAAAAAGGACAAACGCGGGGCAAGCCGACCACCTCGGTCAGGGAGGGCAGCGGCGGGACTCCCGCCCCAGAGCCTCGCGGAGAGCTCCGCCAGCCTCTTCTCCTTAGCCGCACCCGATCTCCTGCTTGCAAAACGGCGAAGTGCTTTTTCCAACACGACGTTAATGTTTTGCCAGGTTTATTTTACTTGTTATACACAGACGATACAAACGGGCAAAAACCGAAACATTTCTCAATGGAGCATGTACTGGTATAAATTATTCAGTTCCACAGACGTAACAGAACAAATATAAAAATCACAACATTCGATTTACAGAAGAGTCAAAAATATACACACGTTTATGACCCTGAATTTCTATTAGGAAATTTCCCCATCGAGTGTAATCTAGACTGAATATTTAGCCTGATGCATATTTCAGTTTGTAATTGGTGTTTTTCCATATAAAAATGTGTTAATTGTATAGATTTGCTACTCAAAATTCGAAGACTTATTCTGCTTCACCGGGGGGGAGTCCTGGAGGGATATTATTTCTCCTTCAATAATGTAATAAGAGGCTTACAGGAAAGATCACTCTTACTTTCGATGTGCATTTGATTCCCCAGGAAGTCAGATCTCGGTCAGCTACTTTATGAAAAAGTCAATTCCAAAACTAAATGCAGTAAAATATACAACTCACAACTCATCTTCACTGGACTACACTATGGTTACCAACAATTCAGTCGTCTATATCTTTTTTCTTCTTTTTTCTTTTTTTTTCCTTTTTTTCTTTTTTTTTCTTTTTTTTTTTTTTTTTTTAGATTATTCATTACAAAGATTTACAGCAATATAAAGAAAGAGGGGGAAACTGCAAAGAAATTTGAAAATAGTTTGTCAGCATATTTGGCACCTGCGGGGACCAGTAATGGATTTGGCACTTGGGGGCGGGGGGGGGGGGGGGATACCACAGAAAATAATATTGCTGATCTCGAGCTATTCCTTTTAAAGAAAAATAAGAGGCAGTTAATTTTGCTTTTGGAAGGCGTCATGCTACTTTAATCGACTTTCCTACGAGATGTATTTCTGTTCTCTTGAAGGGAAAACTGAGCTATTCCTTAGCTGTGTTAGCCCAGGGCACCGCGTAATTATTTCATGCGAGGAATTGGAAAGAAAGTGAGAAACCCATTACTCGCTGCTACAGCTATGGACCACTTATATTTCCAGAGGCATTTAGGAAGAGTGTGTACCTGGGGAGGGGCACGAGGAAGAGGGAGCAAAGTGCGGGCAAGGGGGTAAAGAAATTCAAACAGGATTTAAGTTTTGTTGACTTAACAATGAAAACAAAACAAAAAAATCCAAACAAATAATAAATAAACAGAACCAAAGAAAAGTAATCTGTTACAATAAATTAAATACTATGTACAGGCATTTCACAGGCTCTTTTCCCCACTATTACTGTTTCCCCTAGAATCCATCCGTGGTAAAAGGAAGGAAGCGCTGTACTGTTTGAGAGTCTAAGCATCCTACTGATCAGTGGGTTTCGGATCGGCAGTGCCCCCCACGCCCCCGGGGCGCCGCCGGGCCGGGCCGGGCCGGGCGGGGAGCGGGGCGGGGGGGGCGGCGGCGGCCGCGGCTCAGCCTGCCTGCCTGCCTCCCTGCCGGGCCGGGCCGGGCCGGGGCACGGATGGGGCATCAGGGGCGGGGGTCAGTGCGCTAACGCGGAGGAGTTATTGTGCAAAAGGACGGCGGGCCGGCGGCCGCGCCTAGCTGTGCGAGTAGAAGCCGTAGTAGCCGATGTCCTTGGCGCAGGTCTTTTCGCAGTCCCGCTGGGTAAGCACCTCGCTCTTGAGGGGCGAGGAGCTCTCGGACACCGGGGTGTCCGAGGGGGAGATCCGCCTCCTTTTGGCCTGCTCGTAAATCCCAGAATCAGAGGAGTCGATGGATTTAATGGACGACGGCGTCTCGATCCAGCTGGAGTCGGACAAATCTTTGGGCTTGGAGTCCTCGGCGCCCGGCAAAGGGGACCGCTCGGGGGCCAGGCTCTCCGCCTCCTCCCCCAGGTAGGGATTGCCGGCGGCCATGCGCGCCGCCGCCGCGCTGTTGGGCCAGCAGGAGAGCACGGAGCCCGACTTGCTGCAGTACTGCGGGGGGCTGCGGGCCCCCCAGCCCGAGGGGTCGGCATAGTAGCCCAGCGGCCGCCCGGCGCAGCCGGCCGCCTGCAGCGGCAGCGCCTTGACTCCTGCGGCCGCGTAGGACAGCAGCGTGGCCGCGTTGCCGGCGAAGTCGGTGGCCGTGTCGTAGGCGGAGGCGGCGAAGTCGAGGCGGTTGTTGGCGGGGGCGACGAACCAGCGCTGCGGCGAGGGGGCCCCCGGGTCCTCGGCTTGCTGTGGGGAGAGCAGCCCGTTGGTGTGGGGCACGCTGCGGTCGGCGCCGGGCCCCGGGCCGGCTCCTGCCCCGGGGTGGAAGCGGGACTTGGCGTAGTTACTCACGAACTGGTCCTGGAGGAAGGAGCCGGCCATGGCGTAGCGGGCCCCGGGCACGATCTGCGAGCGGGGCGAGTCGTTGGGGGAAGGCGTCAGCCGGTCCATGTCGCAGCCCGTGTAGATCCTGCCCAAGAGAAGGGGAGAGAGCTGGGTGTCCGCCGCAGCCCGGCGCCCTCCTCGGCGCGGCACCCGGCCGGCCGCAGCCCTCGGGGGACGGACGGGAAGGGACGGCGCCGTCCCAGCGCGCTCCTGCCCGACCCGGGAGCCTGCGCTCCTCTCCGGGCTTTACCTCTGGCACCAGTAGCGCCTATGGCCTTTAACGGGGAAGAGGAAAGAAAGATGGGGGGAAGCACGAAGAGCAAAATCATTCGTAACCTGTTGGCCATTTCTTGACGGGGCCGAGATCCCTCTCTCGGGTCCGAACCCGCATCCCAACGGCGTGAAATCCCGCGCGGTGACACATTGACCGGTCCCGCCACATGCGCAACAGGCAGCCCGGTCATTTACCGCGAACAGCATGAGTGGCAGACTACGGAATTCTATCGGCTGTTTAACACTTATTATTGGGAGTCGCAGACGAACCATCAACATTTTACCCAGTTTAAATCAAGCTAATCTTTAAACACCTACTGTAGGAAATGTAAAGCCAGACACTTCCAGTGTTCCCTGCATGGCCTATATATAATTCTCCCATGCTGGGCTGCAATTTGCGATTATAAAAACTTTAATGGATGAATAACTACTATCTGTATTTACTTCAGGCTAAAACTGTGCTTTAATTAACCCTCCACGCCTCCTGGAATTTCTTATCCAAAATAAACTTGGCCCTTAAACAAATTCAACGTGCTAGACAACATTGAAGCTTCCCCCTCCCCCCGTCTCCTTTCAAGTGACGCCCTATAAAGTTCTTTTCCTATTAAAAAGAGAAAAGCACTTGTGGCTGGGGGCGAAGGCCGCGCAGCCTTTCCAAAGGCTGCACATACTCCTCGCAGAGGTCCCGGAGAGCGGGCAGGCCCGGCTGCCGCCCTCCGTGGCACCAGGGACAGGCCGGCTCCCCTCCACAGCCGCCGCGACCCCCGCCCGTGGAAGACAGCGGCCGCACGACAAGCTGCCCCCTGAGGAGAGTTAGAGCTCGGCCTCGGGCCCCTCTCTCACTAGTTCAGCCCTCGGCGTCGTTTCCACGCTTGTCCTGAAATCCTGCTGCTGGTGGGTGCTAGACTACGGTCCAGCAGAGAGAGGTTGAAGAAGGCGCTGAAGACACGCGCTGAGGCGCTCCAAGGGAGGCCGCTTCCCGCCGCAGTTTAGAAAGGAAAAAGGCTTCCCTTCTCAAAGCCGGGGTCCTGTCCCGCAGACCTGGAGCTTGCAGCG